GTTGTTGGCAGCCGATTCCGGTAACGCACATCAGCTGGCAAAACCGGATCCTGAAAATAACAGTTCTCATTGGCTCTGGAAATTAAAGTAACCTAAAAAAAACCTTTGAGTCTATCTCAATTTTCATGAAAGCAGCAGGCGTATCGTTTTGATGCTTAAGATATGCGGGAAGACTCCGGTGAATACGCATGATGACTGAAAATACTTGCAGATCCACAGTGAAATACTAGGCTCACAGTTCCTAGAAACAAACCCGCACAGGTCAATCAGTAGCATAAGAAAATCTGTTTGTGTTTCATCCCTTAGCTATAAAACCAGAACAAAGCGGATCCGTAGAAAAGCGATATAAAAGTACAGTTTCCAACTCGCTGTGTGTATGGTAAGCATGTTTTCGTTGCAGGTACAATGCACCTTATTAGTATTGGAATTTTGTTCTAAATTTTTAGCCTTAATTCGTTAAAAAACTTTTTCGTTTTTATTCGGGAAATATGCGCGCTAAAAAGTTTAACTCATTCAAGCAGAATGTGTGGCAGTTTTCTACAGCGAGATAAAACTGAGGGAAAGGGATGAGAGTGAGAGGGGAAAACATTTAAATCCGAGAACCACCAAGATTTTTTGGAAACACACGACCTGGATCCCATGAATTATTATTTTTTGCGCCACTTTAAAAATGTTGCAACACGCAAACCTCTTCGCTGATATCAACAGCACTAAATTCGGTCCTCACATCAACCGTGTTATCGTAATCGACCGATCGCTTCCTGATAAGGCGTAAATTTCGCGGTGCGAGTGCCAAAGCGGCTGGCGCTGGAGCAGCGGCAGATTTCACCGCTCCAAAGCCTTGCGGTTCAGCACACTGCGGTCGTGGGCAGTCGGTATTCGGTTCCTTCACTGTGATACTGATCTGACACTGATAGTACAGCTCTGAGCGATCGGCATATTTGTACACATGTGCTTCTTGGCCAGCCATTAGATCTGAAATTATAATAACTGGCGGTGTATGCCAGGATTGCCGACGTGATTGTGCGCTTTCGTACAGATTTTATGCAGTAGTAAGATTGTTAGCAGCAACAATATTCAGTGCTTCACAGTTTGGTATGTGCAGCCATGCTAAAAAAAAGATCTCCTGCTTTCAGAGGAGAGGGGCATGGGCTGAGCCGCCGGTGTTGCATTGTGGGCCCCGTGAAATTTCAGCTTTCTAGCATTTGTCGTTGCCATTAGAGGATCTCGATGATTTTTCTAACGGGATTTTGAAATATCGGTAAGTTTAGCGTGGCCGTAAAAGCTCGTCTTACTTTTGCAGGTTTGCGCACTCACAGTAACAATACTTATGAAAGTGCAGCTTCGAGTAAAAATTTTTGTAATGAAAAATGTTAGATAACGAAATCGAATAAATAGACATTAAACTACCTTTAAAAAAACATGTTTCTGAAAAGTGAAAAAGCGGGCGCCTGTGCTACTGCTCACATCGACAAAGCTAATATAGTTTCTCAAGAAAGCTGTTACCTGTAGGATATTCCAAATTATTGAGAAGATACTTGTCCAGAGCGCAACCGCTCTCGTCTAGAATCTCTACGGTATCGCCATTCCCATCATCCACAAAGCATGAATGTACAACGGCACAGAATGTATCCACCGTTTCCGAATCACAGGTCCACTTGTGATAGACTTGCTGCCCAATGAGTGCATATTTGATTGGTGATCCAGTTGGTCCACCTTCCAGGATCTAAAAGAAAGTGTCAGTCAGACTACACATAATTTGCGCCAGGATCTGCAGTTTTTATTTTTGGCTGTTTGCTAAAATCACTCAGTCATCCCAGCAAGCAGGAAAAAGCGCATCTCTCTTTTTAGATAATGATGCTTTCAAATTTGTTAATTGGGATTGTCCAGCTCTCAAAAGTGCAAGAAATGAACAGTACCTTATTTGTTTTTCTGGAAAGATTGAGAAACAAAGAATGGACAAAACAGATTATTGAAAAGCATTCAAGCAGTGTCAAAAGAAAAGTGAATAGGATCCTGATGAACGGCTAATATGGAAATTTTGAACTGAAAGTGACTCAAAATAAAAACGGAGATGTTTTTGGGTTGCAGCTGTAGCGAGAAGTAACAGGACGATGAAACAGCAGCTGATTAAAGCATCGTTTTAAGTATGTTAAAGTTATTGACTGAATCCATCAATTTTTGCACAGCTTATTTTTTCTACTAATAGTTGGATCATAGAAAAATTTATCTCCTCATATTGCTTCCTGCGTATCCTAAAGTGGATCTTAAATGAACGAAAAAAAAAACGCTTTTTGTAAGTTCTTTTGAATAATAAAGTGCACTAATAATCACAGGAACCCAGCGGCTGAATATTATGTATGCGAACTACTATGAGGCATTTTAGAACAGCAAGTTCAATTGTTCTACTTAGTTAAGCTATAATTTTGAAAGTATGCAATTTATTCGCGCAGTGAAATAAACCCCAGTAAATCGAAGATGGTGGAAATTCGTTAATGCAGTAATCATTGGGAAAATGCATAGGTGTCGACGGTAAATTGGTGCTGGCGCGTGACAAGGAGCTAAACCCGTCATCAGCTTGCTTGTAAGCAACCCTCGAAAAAGGTGCTATCGACAGTCTGCTGTAAGTTCATCACATTTGACATATGTATGCATTTACACTCTGATCATTCCAAAGTAATTTAGTCTCTAGTAAGCAGTCACTGCGAAGAAGGTTTTGACTTTTGAACAAAGAATACAGCTAACTAGCATAATTCTCCTTGATAATTAGCATTAATTTCTTAAAATGGTACCTCATATCGACAGATTGGCATTGGTACCACTTGTGTCTGGAACGCAGTGGTGATGTCGGACACTTCAATCTGCGTGCTCACTGTTTTATCGGCTTCCATGTAAAAGCACTGAATGCGATAAGCACGATCCACTTTTGTGATGAACTGTGGATGGAATGTTATGACCACTACAGCACTGACGTAGATACCACGTGGATTCAGCGAACGGGAACGGGCAACATTGCATGAATCGAACGGTAGCTCGATTCCTGCTACCTGAAATGAATACTTTGTAGTATTAACATATTTCAGTTAGTTCGGGAAGAAGGAGGTGATACACGAGAAGCGCTTTTCCTCTTTTTTAAAATATAATGATACCCGCAAGAATGAAAATAACCGCTGGAGCGGCCCTTCGAGAGATGATACACATAAATCCATCGAACTAGCTGCAAGCCAAGATCGAAGGACCCGACGTGTGCGAGCAACCCAGTAACGTCACTAGCACGGAGCATTCTCAGTGGTTGTCTGATCAGTCCTGGTATTCCGGTGAAATTCGCTTTTATAGAAAATTGGCAGTACTTCAATCTTTGCTTAAGGGACTCCTCAGCGGCAAGTACACTGCCGTCACATGGAAGATCGAGGGTTCGACTCCGCTAATGAAATTACCGTTCCTTCTACGACGCTTTCGTTCATTTCGATGGTAAATTGGTACTGACACATAACAGGGAATCAGATCCACTATAAGCTTGCTTCTAAGTGAAAGTCATTCTCAAAACTGGGAGTGATTGGCAGCTTTGCTGACGGGTAGTTGTTGCTACCACTCGGATTATTTCTAACTGTTGCTACCAC